CGCTCCCTCACAGCTCCAAGCCGGGTGCAGGACTGGGCTCCTCTCTCCGCCTGCCCCAGGCTCCCCCTTGCCCTTGGGCTTGTGCCACTCATTTTTCTCCCTGCAAAATCGCGGCTGTACTTGGCCCGGCTGTTTGCAGCGTGTTTGCCTTCCCCTGCATTCCCCTGCTCCGGGTGTTTTGCTGTCTTTATCTTCCCGCACCGCCACACGGCGTGGGAGCACAGGCGGAGCGAAGGCTGCCAGGGAGGGGATGAGGAGAAGGACAGCATCTCACCACCGACATTTTCTAGTCTTCCATGAAGGAGGAGGGTAACGAAGCCCTCTTCCCTAGCAGACACCTATTTCTGCGGGCCGGCGGGTGCTGCAGGCGGGAGCAGGAGAGCGTGACCCCAACAGGCACAACACCAGCACCCGGCACGAGCACCGGCCGATGGAGCAGCACAAACCAAACAAATCGAGCGGCCTGATGAATTAATCAGCTGATGGACTCTAACTCGGGGAGCAGGAGCCAAAGGGATGAGTAAACAAAGGCCAAGCTACACGAGATGGTATTTAGGTGCAGAGTAGCTGCCAGTGAACTATTACGAGTTCCAGATTAATTCTAGGTGTTGCTGCTTTTCCTGTTGCACAGGCAGCCACCAGCCTGCCCCGCTGCACAGCCGGCGTGCAGACGCCTCGGACAGGCTCAGCTCCTACCTCCGAGAGCTTTCGGTTCAAATATATCGAGGTGTTGCTGCTACAGCTCCACGGGCATGGAGACAAACCCCCCTATTTCCTCCCCCGGTATTGCACGTGGTGGATACACCGAGGTTATTGGGCAGACCCTAATGCACACGACGTCGCGCATGGAAGCTCAAGCGCTTCTGTTTTTGAGGGTGCACTTAGTGCAACTGTCCCACAAACAGTGATTATGGCATGTGTCCGTCCCCCCCCCAGGCATCCGTGGCGTCCCGTGACAGCTGATGCACAAGGTTTCCTTTGCTTTTGGGACCGCTGGGACGAGCATCTAGAAGCCGGCTGTTCGCACAGCAGTGTGGGCCACCCCGACAAGCCTCCTGGTGCTTTCCAGGGTTTTCTGTGCTGCAGGGTGACGGGACGTGGCGCCGCCCCGCAGCGGGGCACTGCCGGACCCCCCTGTCCTGGGAAAAGGCCTGCTCCTGGGGGGACAGAGCATGGCACGGGGGCCGTGACCCGGGGCTTCCACCGCACCCCGCAGTGTCGGTGCAGGGCACCGGCACAGCACCAGCCCACCAGCCCTGCG